CCTGTACTCGGCACAGATGTTTCTGTACACTATGCCAGCCACTTGGTTATGGCGTTCCATGTATGCCCTGCCTGCTAGCATCTTGCCCCCCACTGTTATGTGCTGGATTGTCTCAGGGGCATCTTTGCACAGCCTGCACCTGGGGTCCTGCAGGCTGTGCAAAGATGCCCCGAGACATATACATATAATATATATATATGACCAAATTGCTTATTTAAAAATAACTTTATCATGAAGACAGAGAGACGGAGAACCTCAATAGGCTCTGTCTTAAAATTCTAGGTTTGAAATTTCAAGACCACAGGGGAACTTATTTTTCAAGTTAAACCGGTATAAAATGGTTCACAGTGCAGATTTATTAATTCATGTGTGAATAAACTCACATGGTCCTGTGGCAAGATGGTAAGGCCATTTCGTCCCTAGCATCATGTGGTGCAGATCAGTGCTGTTGACTACAGGGATGTAACATGTGATGTACCCAGTAAGTTCAGTGTCAATAGGAAGTGAGATATAGTTTACCCAGGAAACATGCCAAGTACCTTGTCATGGGTGTAAAAGAAAATGGATTTTATTGATACAATATTACAACCTTATTCATTTTTTTTGTGCAAAAACAAAAACAGAATGTGCAACAATTTGTCTTCAGTTGCAGTATAAGAATCTTTTAGGCTTCTATTCGTGTAAAATGGTTGAGTGAAGCCTTAGAAAACACATTACCTGAAAGTTGTACATTTGATAAATATATCGATAAATATGCCAAATATATAAGTTAAAAACAAACAACAACAAAAAAACAATAGCTCAGTTTTACAAGCAGCAGGCACAGTGTGATCATAAGTTATTGGCAGCAACATATAAGTGGCAAACCAGATCACACTTGTTAATACATATTATGTTTGATACAAACACAGCCTGAATGGACACATTCTGTTGTTACTTTCAACAACTGATCAGTCCCTTATTATTAAAAAAAATATGAATGTGATGACCTCATCATTCAGACTAATACTTTTCATTTGTCAATAAACAGCACCAGCCGATGAAAGACGTCTCTCGCCATCTGCTCATCTTTTTCTGTTGCAGATAGAAGAAACAAAAATGAATTAGAGCTGACACATTAGGATCATGAAAGTCTGAGAAACCCTGTGTTGTATGATCAACTTGCACTTACCCGGACATTATTTTCTCGATCACTTTCTTCACCCAGGGGGCATTATTATCTCGATCACTTTCTTCACCCAGGGGGCCTTAGGGTCTAGGCAGACCTGTTCACCTGTCTTTTTCAGTGTGGCACTGCAACACCAAACAAAAAGCAGAGATGCTGTCAGAACAAGTACATTTTGATGCCAAAGGCAACTAGCAACAGTGGCAACACTTCAAAGTATCTAGATGGGATGAAGGCTTTAAAATGAGGTCTTACATGATCTCAGTGTCTTCGCAGTGAGAGTTGGCAGGAATCAGCTCCATTTTCTGGATGTGGCGGCCGATGGGTCTGCTCTCTGTCTGGATGCAGCGGCAGTGTAGGTCCACTCCCAGGCTTCTCAGACTCATGCCTGTTAGGAGACAAGGAGTCACACATGTTCACAAAAAGCAGTGGCACTTTCTGGTACCTACCACTAAGAAAAAGAAGACAGCACTGCAAGTCAATTATTGAAATTTTTTTTTTATTTAAATCTTACCTTCACTGATGGTCAGGGAAGCCAGGAGCACCACAATAGCAGTGATGATTACTCTGTTGCTCATCATTTTGCTTTTTCTAATTCTGCAACAACTAAGCCACTACAAGATAAAAATGTCCTTGATGAAGACTGAAGCACTCTGTAGAGGTGAAGTAAAGAAGACTTTTGTGTTCTGCTGTATTTTTCGTTCTTTTGTTCAGTTCCTTTTCTCCTCTGCTTTTCCTGTTCTTGGTTCAGCTGCCTTCTTTCTCTCTCTACTGTTTGACTCCAGCGCTGAAGTCTGCTTATAAAGCCAACTCCTGGAATGAGTCACTTCCCAGTTCAGGCAGGTTGCGCAAGCTGGGACTGTCGGCAGTGGGGATTTACACTTTTTTACATGTGAGCAAGCAACATCTGTGATTTTTCAAGAAAGCTCATGGGTCAGCATTTGTCACTCATTAATGTCATGTTATTTGGAAAGACACAGTGACTACAAATCTGTAATAGACCATTTGATATGATAGGAATGTTCTCATAAATTACATGCTTATGTTGTTAACACTGTTAACAGTTTATTGCAGCATTACTCACATTAATGATTGATCAAGTAGCAGCTGATTCATAGATGGCATGAAATAAAATGAACAGTTGGATGCAATCTGTAAATGACAACTGTAACTTAAGTTCACCTTCATGAAGGGGAAGTTTTTTGTATGAAATGTTGGCATGTCTCTCACATAGTCACACTGGTAAAAAAAAAAAATGTAGAGAATTTCCGTGCACTGTCCAACATGCATTGACTTGTTTATTACTGTAAAAGCTCAAAAACAACAAGCCAGTGTCAAACACTTCTATTTCTCAGCACCTACCTAATCTGTGAAATTCATCAAGGTGAATAACAAGTCTATACAGAACATACGCCCCGGCCTAATGTGCAATAAAATGCTTCACAGAACTCATTAGTGTCAGAGTTGGAAAGTATTTAAGTACATATACTCAAGTACAATTTTGCAGTATTTCTATTTTACTTGAGTGTTTATCTGTTACTACTTCCCTACATGTCAGAGAAGAAATTCATACATTTTACTCGCTACATTTATTTGATAACTTTAGTTACCAGTTACTTTTCAGAATGAGACAAGTTAAACAAAATGCAGTATAATCATAAGAATTTATTGATGCCCGGTGGCTAAGTCACACACAACTCAGCAGTATGTAAAGTATGCAAATAAGGTGGTTAAAATTAGCTCCGTCTTTACCAGCTGCAACATAAATGTGTTGAACACAATAACACATCAATAACTATATTACAATAATATACATTAATGTGTAATGTGCTATTTTGCATGATGAATACCTTTACTTTTGGTGCTTTAAATATAGTTTGATGCTAATTCCTTTGTACTTTTACTTAAGCAGCATTTTGACTGCCAGGCTTTTACTTGTAACAGAGTATTTTTACTTAAGCAAACAATCTGAGTACTTCTTCCACCGCTCATTAGTGCATTTTATTTTGCTGTATAAAACACAAGGTGAGAAAGTCGGTGTCTGACACAAATTTAGTTTGAAGACATTCCAAACAAGGGCACAATTTCGCATAATAAATGAACACTAAATATAATGACAAAGTTAAATTTTTGACACTTCTGTGCCCTACATTAAAAGCACATTATTGCATTATAGCCAATATGACACTCATCAGAATGGTAATGTGTTGTTGGGTCATGTGACTGGCATTCCCAAAGCATTGTCTGGAGATGTGCCAAGAGACTGGCTGGAGCCTGAACAAGCTCAAAGACATTTGATCATAGCCATCGCGTCACTACATCCACTTTCCCAAGCAGAAGGAAGTATGGGGCAATTCCTGAGTGAAGAGAATTTTGTGGTTTTGACACATTAACTCTTCAGCTGTCATGTCTCAATCAGCACTTACTGCACTTACTGAAGATACCTATGCAAAGGATTTGGGTCATGTTTTAACACTATATCTTTGTAGCTGACACTTACTGTGCTGACTGAGAGTTTTTGGAGAAAAAACAAGTCTGGAGAGTGGTGAAAATGTTTATTTAAGACTGTAACAATGTTTAGTTTTCTTATTTCTTTATTGAACTGGAGCTCATCTAGAATAAAAGTTCTCTTGTAGTCATCTCTACTTAGACTGTCATGTGAAGGTCATGTTTTGTTAAATTGAGGATGTGATCAACTTAATGGAAAGTTTTTAATGTGCCATTTTCAGTGTTGTGGCTGAACCAATGGATGTGGTGAGATGATGGTGGCATGTGACAGGCACAGATTAGGAAACATATGACCATTTCCTATAAATTAGTGTTCCTCCAGTTTTCTGGGGGCAGACTGCTAATATCAGATGATTTTTAAAATAGAAAATACATATAGTGAAAACTGTTTGGGGCCTGCACATTTATGGAATTTTACATTTTCATGTCCATAACAAAAGAAGTGGTAAATAAGAATTTGCATTGCTGTAACTGTCATGCAAGAGTTGATTTTTGGTGAGCAGGCTCAATAACACCCCCCCACACACACACACACACACACACACAATAGAGGAAAGAGGCACTGGAGCACCATGATATCACAGAGGAAGTATTATGAAAACTTCTTCGACAGCATGATGCACTGATGTTTGGATATTCCAACACTTCACCTTAACCTAAGATAAAAACTTTATTGCGTCATTGAAGGGAAGAAATCATTAAACAGTGGTAAATATGTCAAGCACAGACTAAACTCAAATGGCCCTGCCTCATGATCATGGTTTATAGTATGTTACTGTAAATCCTTGATGGATTGTAGTAATTACATGGCAATATCAGTTTGTCAGCCGGTCCACTGCTTTGGTCAAAGCTGAAATAACTTAACGGATGGAAAATGAAATTTTGCACAGTCATATGTGGTCTACAGCAAATGAATTCTAATGGATGATTTTAGTGATCTCATATATTTTTCTCTAGTGCAGCTATGAGGGTGATGTTTTTGTTTGGAGCAATAAGGCTTTACATCTTTGGGGTGGATGAATCTCCAGAGCATAAATCCTGGTGACCTTATTAATTGTTTTACATTTCAGTTAGGGTGGCACGGTGACGCAGTGCTCGGTGCTGTCGACTCACAGCAAGAATTCGTCTGGTTTGAGCCCTTGGCCAACCTAGGGCCTTTCTGTGTGGAATTTGCATGTTCCCCTTGTTCCTGCGTGGGTTCTCTCTGGGTACTCCAGCTTCCTGCCACAGTCCAAACACATGCAGCTTAGGTTGATTGGTGACACTAAATTCCCCATAGGAGTGAGTGTGGTTGTCTGTCTCTAAGTGTCATCCCTGTGATAGACTGGTATCCTGCCTCTCGCCCAATGTCAGCTGGGATTGACTTCAGCTCTCCTGTGACCCTCTTCAGGATAGGTGCAGCAGATAATCCAGATAATGGCTGGAGGGATGGACATTTCAGTTAGTGCCATCAGCAGGTCAAAGTTTTTACCCATCTAGTGAAATATATTGCTATCTACTAGACTGATTGATACACAAATTTAATATTTAAGAGGATTATGCTCAATAATCCCCTATCTTTTTAGATATTTCAGACAAATGTCTCAACAATGGACTCCCATGAAGTATGACACAGACATTCAGGCTGAATCATATCTATGAAGATCCTTTGACTTAACTTAGTGCCATCATCAGGTTTATGACTAAATACTTTGGTGTATGACTATATTTATGACTAAATATTCACAACATCAGCTGTACCACTCCAACACCTTGACATACTGTAAGTGGGTTTAGAATGAGGAAAATACAAAAAAGTGCAAAAAACAGTTGTCTACCTGAGGAAAATTTACGTTGCAATAACATTTGTTTTATGCTGGGATGAAAACTGGGCCCTTTGTCTGGTTTAGTCAGTGTTTTGGCACATACTTGTTTTACCTTTCTGGGCAGTAATATTTCAGCATAACATTAGCATAGTGCAGTAAGGTACTGCATAGCATTTCATCACATGTTCAAAAGTATTGTGTGGTACAGTATAATGCTTTATAGAGAGAGTAGTTTATTTGTCTTGAATGGCATTCTGCCTGATAACATTCACTGTCACCGCCTTATCTAAATATGAATGGCAAACCAAACATAGGGAATGTCACTGATAATGAATACAAAGGACTGAGTTCATGCAGATGAAAACATGAACTGGGAAAATCAGGAATGAGTCATGAACTTTCTGTTTTTCATTGTGTTAGAGTGATAAGCCAATGGGTATGTTTGAGTATTACTGTATTGCTTTAGTATGAGCATGGTCAATACTGTATGTACACGGAAGCAATGAATTAGTTTCAGTTGAACTAGAAGTGGACTGTAGTATTGATGATATACAGTACAACCTGGGACAGCCAGAACCAACCAATAGGTGAGTAAGAGGCAGCCACTGTCCGGAAATTCCAGAAAATGTCAGGGAGTTTTAGGATCTATAAAAAGATGGCAGAGGGGCTGAAGACAGACATTTACCCCCCTTCTCCCAAAACATTTATCCAAACGTGACAGTATCAGCACATGAGGCCAGACCTGTACAGAGGCACCTGCAGCACAGAGGAATAAACATAGCCTCAGCTCATGCATGAATACAAGGTCTCAGTGGAACATTCCACTGGGACAATCTTGGATATTTCTCTGTACCACTGGAATACAACTGGGAGCTTTTCTTTAATCTGTTGGAACAGGATGCACGTTCTTGCCAACAGTATTGCAGATTACAAAAAAAAAAAAAACACTTCCGTTTCTTAACAATATCAAGCCTAGTATCATAAAATGTAAGAAAGAAATGGGAACATTCTTTCATTATATGTGTACATGTTCACTGGTAAGCAGACGCTGGAAAAACATACATGTAAGAAAGGAACTGTTCTATTACGATTTCAGAAAATAAGTTGCATCGTACACTGCTCCTACTGGAATTCTCCTTTGAGGACTTAAAAGAAAAAGTATAACCTTTATTTAGACAGGATAGTCTGATCACATTCACACCTGGAAGCACAACAACAGACTGACCCGTGGCCACTGAGCAGCTCCACTAGAGCAGTTGGGGGTTAAGGGCCTTGCTCAAGGTGTGTATGGGGGTGGTATGCATGACACTGTCACCTGACCCACCCATTTTTGATCCTGCCAGTCCAGGGATTGAGCTGTCAACCTTCTGGTCACAGGCTTGTTTTTCTAACCTTTGGGCCAACATTATACTTTAATGAAAAAGGTTTTCTGACTCTCATTCAGGGGGAAAAAAAATCTCATTATAGTCAGTATACTCACCCATTCCCCTTGATTTGGTTTTCTTTCCCATCCTTATATTAATTGTTCTCTCAGTGCTGTGTTGGCCAAGGGACTGAATCTTCCCGTAAAATTGGGAGATTTATTTATTTTTAAATATTTGGAGTAATTGTTAAGAGCCATTCGCACCAGTCAGTGTGCGAACGAGGAAAGAGGCGGACCCTGACAAGAATAGTCCTTACTGGTTTGACACATAGGAAATTGCAGGTGGGGAAAAAGTACACAAACATGACAGGAGGGCAGATACAAAGTTTATATGACCTGCATGCTTAATAATATCAAGGCAATAATTTTCAAAGGTTTTTTGTGTGTGTTTGGGTGGGTTGCCTGTAGGAGTTAACATTCTTCAAGGGTGTAACAGCGTCTCTTTGACATTTTATAATCTACTGTCAAACATGTATCTGCATGTACAGTAGCCTACATAGTTATACTTGAGCATTAGTTTTACATATTTATATATTACATTAATAATAGGTTTTTAAAACTTGTATCTTGTTCTTTGATAGGATTATACCCTTTATCTACTTATGTTAATAATGCCAAAAAAATAATGGCAACAGGGACAGAAGTGAAGTTGTTCAGTGATGTTGTAAGGATTTTGTGGTTATAGGTCATAACAGGATGTTTCAAAATAGGGAAATACAAGACAAAGTCGGTTTGGCACAAATATCCACATAATTCCCTGCTAATTAACACAAACTGCAACAATGCTTAGTCATTAATGGGTCATGTTTTCTTTTGTATTCTTTCTATTTTGTTTGGCATTAGATCCATATTCCTGTTTTGTCACCTCTGCTGCAGGTGTGCAGAGATAATTTTCTTAGGAAAGTGATTTTCACATACAGTAAACATACCTTAAAAAAAATCACCTAACTAAACCAGACCAGTGACGTGGCGCAAAGAATAATGATTTGCTCCACGTCACTGAACTGAATTGTTTAAAGAAGAAACTGTTATGAAAACCACTGTAGTTTCTTTGGAATTCTTGAATTTTCAGTTGTAGACCACCACTGCTCAGTCATAACTGCTTCATGTGGGATTACAATGGAAGTACTAAATAAACATATGAAATTATTCCAAAAACAGTGAACCCTGTTTTTTTCCTCAGCATTACTGATTAAGAAAATCTGTTACTGAAAGGGGGGGGGGGGGGATAAAAGCAGAAACAGAAGGGTTTACAGCACAGACTTGCATCACAGCTTTTGACTGCAGTGGGAAGAGCAGAGCTTTATTTGGGAGCATTTGCTGAAAAGTTAGATTGAGCAGATATGTCTGTCATCACTGCTGTGGCGCTACTGGTTCTGCTTACTGTCGCTGAGGGTAAGTCACTGTTACAATCTAAGTAATATATTGGAAGGTTGCATTGAAATCCTTAATTTCTTTGTTGCCAGAATTCATCTGTGATGTATGTCATGTGCCTGCTTGTGACCTGCATTTACTGTATTAAAATCCTTCTCTGACCTCTCATAACCTCAGGTATCAGTCTGGGGGATCAAAGAGTGATTCTGCGATGTCAATGCATCATCAAGGAGAAAAAGCCCATTGGCCGTTACATAAGTAATGTGGAGGTGAATCCTGGCAACTCCCACTGCAAAGATACTGAGATCATGTAAGCCCTGGAGCTGATCTGTTCAATGTATTCACAAAGCTGCTCATTGCAAATCTGAGATGATTATTTGTGTCTTGACATGTCTGGTGTAATTTGCATGATCTGTGTTTCTGGTCTGTCTTTGGTCCTGCAGTGCAACTCTTAAAAGGGATGGGCAAAAGATTTGTCTGGACCCTGATGCTCCATGGGTCAAAAAGGTGCTTGAAAGGAAACTGGCAAAGTAAGTCCAGAAGACTGAATTTTTCATGTTCAGGGTCAGCAGCTGAAAGCAACAAAACTGCACTGCCTGAGGAACAGCTTTCCATATAAGGGTATTTTGCTATCTCGGTGTTTATTCAAAGGCAACTCTGGTTATTTTTGGTTGTAGTGCAGCTATTTGTTGTGTTTACACACTT